AATATAAATTTTAAAAATTTTTGAAACTATCCTCATTTTGGTTACTTTACTTGCAGATTTATGATGAATCGAATGTGCTGCAAGATGGCACATTGATTGATTTGTGTGGTGCCACGCTGCTTTGGCGCTCAGCCGAGGGCTTACAACATTCGCCGGTTTGTACGAGAGCGTACAGCTTTTGCTCCAGTACACTTACATATTATATTACTAAGCTACGTTTTTTTTCCCCCCATTTCAGACCAAACGCGATTTGGAAAAGTTAATTGATGAAATCAACGCTGGACGTCCGCAATGTCCGGTCGGTTTGAATACCTTAGTAATACCTAGAAAAGTGAATATCGGTGATCAAGTGAATCAGCCTTATGTGTACTTAAATTGCGGACATGTACAGGGTATGTGCTTAGCTGCTTTCCGACAGCATCAAACTATTTTGTTGTATTTTTTTGCATTTTTGTTTTTTATTTAATTTGACTTAAATAATTCATACGCGCTATATTTGCTTGCAGGTCATCACGATTGGGGGCAGGATAAGAGTACTGGTGCCCGTCGCTGTCCCATGTGCCTCGAAGTTGGTCCGGTCGTTACGCTTTGTATGGGTTTGGAGCCGGCCTTTTACGTTGATGTTGGTGCACCCACGTACGCTTTTAATCCATGCGGTCACATGGCGACTGAGAAAACAGTCAAGTAAGCATGAATATAAAATCAAATGGCTTTGTAGTTAGCTCGATGAATGTAATTTTCTGAACTGCCACTGAAATTCATATGGTAACCACGATTGTGTGTGCCACTCACTTGAAAGCAAAGTTCCCTATTTCTTAAAGTAAACAAGATTTTACCCTGGCATAAAATGTGGTTTTTATAAACGAAAATTATGATGACGCATTAACTCCGTTATGTCTGTCAGTCTATTTAGTAAGAATGAACACGGATTAGAGTTGCTTCGACTCCAGCTACGGACATGGAAAATAGTAAAAGGAAGTATTTACTTCATATATTCATAAATACATGACTGCGGTGCCAAGAAGCTGTAGTAGAGCAGTTGTAAAGCCGTCAACAATCACTGACAGCTTTAACCATACCACTTTATAGAAAGAAGCCCTATAGATGGTTATGTATTGCACAATTTTACTATGTTGTATTCCTCTATCGCTCCATACATAAATAATTTCCGATACTATGATAGAAATTTAATTTCAAATGAAGCCTTACTGCCGTTGCAATATACAACGTTCTGGAGTGCCAGTTAGTGCCGAAATTCGATCGGCAGTTTAATGGCTGAAATTTTCTCTATAAGCCATGTTTTTTGTAAAAACTCTTTCATAGTCAGACAGATAGCGCAAGCCTGAAGCATTTTCTAACCATAAGAACTCTCCAGAAAGATAAAAAAAAACACGAATCAAAAAAAAATTTTAAAACATAAAAACTCTCCTTAAAAACCAAAAAGTGTAACAAAAAATAAAAATAAAATAGTTCGCCTAGATCACACTACTGTGTATAGTGAAATTTCTTTGGATTCATTTCTACGTCACTTTATATAGCCGAAATTTGCCTTTATTTATTTTTAGTTATTTTCAATGACATTTCTTCATCTTTCACAGGTACTGGGCAAATGTTGACATACCGCATGGCACTAACGGTTTTCAAGCGGTCTGTCCCTTCTGTGCGACGCCACTGGATGGCTCATCTGGTTATATAAAGTTGATTTTCCAAGATAATTTAGATTAAATTAGCATAAAATAGTTTATATTTAATTAAAAGTAAACAAAACATACATATTTTGAGTGCATGCAAATGTTGTAGTTTATCGGCATAAATGTCCAAAAAAAATTGAAAGTAGATAATATTTTGCTGCGAAAGGGCTTTTGGACATTTTCAAAGCAGTTTAATGTGTTTCACNTTAACATAATATTTCTTATTTATTTGCCATTTGGGCAAAAATATTTACAAATTATTTTAAACATAACATAAACTGAAAAATTTACATACATATATATATATAATATATACAATATGTATAGTACATAAATGGAAATGATGAGATACAAGGAAGTATTACAAAAACACAAAGAATATAACAATAATATACATACAAGAAGGCGCATCTAGTTTTTAAAAATCGCAAGGAGAATAAAATAGAAATTGAGAAAGTACGAAATGGTTGCAGATAAAATTTCAGAACTGCATAGTTACGACTTGATATCAAAAGTTAATAATGCATTGTAATGAATTGTAAAGGAATGTAAAAAATAAAGAACATAAAATAAGTAATGTGAAATTTATAATATGCATTGCACGATTTAAGGCGAACACACACACACACACAAAACTTATAAGTGAATGC